CCCACATCCCTGCTCTTTCATTAGCTCCTCTCCATAAGTCACTTGCAGTCCCCACCTCTTTCCTCTGGGCTACATAACAGGAGCAGCCTCTGTGCCCTTAGCGGAGTGGGGAGGGCAGCAGGTGCTGGCTCAAGAGCAGCAGGGCCCAGGCCTGGGGCTGTGCAGGATACTGCTAGTAGGTGGCACTACTGGACACCGGCACATGGGAAGGAGATTGAGTGGGGGCTGGGGGCTCCAGTTGGCATCAGTTTAGCACTTGCCCCATGGAAAGGTGGAGTTGTTGCATCCGGTGGGCTGTGTGTGATGGGAGCTCATACAGTTGGGCCTAGAACAGGGGTCAGAAACATTTTTAGGCAGAGTGCCAAAAACACCTGCACCTTCAACTTGTAAGATGTTGGCATGCCAGGGCGGATGGCAGGGGAACCACAAGGGGCCAAGTTCTTGTTGTTGCCGTGTAGGCCCGGCCCCTTCCCTGCCATCCACCCAGAGTCACATATGCCAAGCAAAATGCCTTTGAGTGCCACACTGGTACCTATGTCAGGGTTGCCTACCCCTGGCCTAGAGCCTGTTGTCTGGGCCAGAAGCACTCAAAATGGAGTAGATGCTACAAACTGCCCACCCCTTCCATGAGCTGTAGCCTCTGCCCAAGTCCCTGGCACCTGGGGTGGGCTCCCCTTGACCCTGTTGTTCTGGTTCCCCGCTGTGCTGAGGAAGTGAGGGAAGCAGCTGGGTTGGCATGAAACCCATTTCTACCTGCTGCTGCCTGAGGAAGAAAGGGTTAAAAGCCACCCCCGCCACCTGCAATGGAGGGGCATGGGGAGGGCATAACTTCAGGGTGCTGTCCTGGAGCCCACTGGGGAACAGGCATGGGCCCTGGCATCAGGACACTTGGGTTCCCTCGTAGTTTCCCACAAGTTTGGTGACCTGGACTCTGCTTTGTGCTAGGAGGGGCTGGGGCCAAATTTGCTGGATGCCCTGAGACCCACTTTGTTGAAGGGCAAAGCATGTGTGTTTTGGACTGCAGGTGCCCTTGAGAGCACAATGGGGACTGAGCCCTCTTCTGTGGGTTTAGCCTCAGTCACCCTCTCTTGACTTTTCTAGGGACTCTCTGCTTTCTGTAGGGACTTCTTGGTTTCACTCCCTTATGCCTTATAAGTTCTCCTTGAGGATTATACTGTCTCTCACCACCCACCCATTAACTCATGGCCCTGCCCACTAGAGAGGCAGGGGGTAAAGAAGTCCCTGACCCCTGAGCAGGTGGGGGGGAGGGCATTGCTGTGGGTTGGGCAGGGGGTGGTATGGGAGGAGCCTTCCCTCTCACCCCCACCAGTAGCCCATGTGCCATGGCAGGGCCTTGCGGAGCTTGCAGTAACAAGCCTATCTCCCTGCATCATGTCCTTCACTCCCATGGCTCTGTACCAGCAAGCCGTGGGCACCTCAGAGCGCTCAGGGTGCAGCCTCCCTGGCTGTGGCCTGCTCTGGGGCAGGGCCCACAGGATCACACCAGTGGACTAGCACCAGAGTGGGGGCATGGGACAGGATAATGGGAATCCCCTTGGCTGGAGCTTGTTCAGGATGCCAGGGTTTGTGCCCTGGTTCCCAGGGAAGAGATCATGGAAGCTTTCAGCATGGGCTGCGGGGGCACCTCTGTGTTAGAGATTTGGCCTTTTCAGCCCTGACCAGAGGGCTAAGCACCCCATCTTGCCCCGTGCAGCACAGCGCCCCCTAGCGCAGTGCTAGGGACCCCACCATAAGCAGAGAGCACATGAGCGTGCTGAGATCCTAGGGGCCAGCCCTTGCCCCCAGCAGCGAGACACTGACACTCCCAGCAGCACTTGGGGCACCCCAGCAGCTTCCTCCTTCAGTTCTGTCACCCCCAGGCATCCCCACCGTCGCTGGCTCCTTTGAGAACAGGGGCCCCACTGGGATGCTGGAGTTGGGAAGTGGGGACCCCCTCGCCCCGCTTCCCTGCTGCCTCCCCTCTGTGCTTCACTGCGTGGTTGTTGCCGTGCTATAAATCTGTACAAGGAATCTCTCCCTCGGCCAAGACAAACTTGACCTACTTTTCCATTTGTCCCTGCACTTAGATGGCAGCTTTCGGCAGAGGCCGCTGGCGAGCCGACCCAGCCCGGTGCCCAGAGCCCCGCTGTGCGTCTAGGGTGGGAGATAGCTGCATGACTGCTCCTGGGACCACAGGCCCTGCCTGGCAGGGAACAGTGCCTGGTCCCTCTAGGCTGATGGGCCGTTTAGCTCTGCCCCAGCCAGACACCAGCAAGGGAAGCACAATTCTTCCCACAACCTGGTGACCTACAGGATGAACCCAGTGATGCCAGCCACTGCCTGGGCAGCCGTGCGGTGTGTATGCATGCAGTGTCCTGGGGTGCGGCAAGGTGGACAGCCCAGCACACCCTTCATGGATGCCCCTGCCTATGCCCACTGTGTGGCCTAGCTGATCATGGCAGGGCTGACCTGCTCTGGATGATGCCTCTGTCACCTCCAGCATCCATGTCATGGTCTCTCAGGGTCTGGGTGCCCTGAGCAGGGGCCTGGCACGGAGTAGAATAGGCCTGGAGCTGTGTCCTGTGTGGTAGGGCAGGGCATTCATTTGTAGCATTGTTCCTGGGTAGGATTATCTGGGTATGCTGGCACATGTTGTGAGGCAGGAGACAGGAAAGAGCCTGCAAAGAACATGGGTGAGGGCAGGGGTCTTGCATGGAGTGGAGGAGGTGTGACAGGGGCCTGGAGGAGGGAAGGCCTGCTGAGTTCCTTCCTGCTCAGGTTGGCGTGAGGGTCTCTGTGGGAGAGGATGGTCGTGGGAGGAAGCTCTGTGCTGGTCCACTGCTGCTCTAATCACTTGTAAAGGACCCTGCACATGCAGTCCATGGTACAGAGCACTGCCCCTTCTGCCATGGCATGAGCACAGGGTGCATCAGGCAGGTTGGGGCAGGATGGCAGGGGACTGTGAGGCAGATCCAGCTCCCAGCTCTGTGGGTGAGTAGCTAGTGACCCACCTGGAAGCTGGGCAGGGGTTGGGTGTGGAGGGGTTTCAGCCTCCAGCAGCCCTTGGCACCGTTGGGGTGCACTGCTGGGACCTGCATATCACGGGCATTTTGGCCCTGGCCATGTCCCTCTCCTGGCAGACTAACCTGGGGCCCTGGGACCAGGACACCCTTTGACATCCCCCCCCCATCCTTTAGGAGGGCTTTGTGGGGCTGGAACAGAACACAGTGCACCCTGGAAGCATCATCTGGAGCAGTGGGCCTCAACTTCTTTTGCACCAGGACCATGTAAACATTGATGGCCAGTCCCGACCCAGTAAATAGTTTAAGTAGAAACAACTGCCTGGCCCTGTCAATGTCCTGCCCTCCAAACCTGGTGCCCCCTGCCCCGAGCCCCCCAGCCCCCCAGTGTGTGGGGCAGAGGGGCCCCAAACAGCCCCTTGCAGTCTAGGACTCTGATAGCCTGCAAAAGAAAATCCACCATTTCCCAGATTTTCTCTTTTAAAGGAGAATCCACTTTTAAAGTTTGTTTGTAACCCTTTTATATATTCTTGCGACCCACTTTTGGATTGCGACCCATGGGTTGGGAAACATTGATCTAGAGCCTCTTGGCCTGATCCCAGAGTGGCAGGCCTGTGGGGGGAGAGCAGGGAGAGGAGCCGCCTTCCTGATATGTCTGGCCAGGACCTTGCCAGCTATCATGGACAGCTGTGGCCACCATGCCAAAGCAGGGCACTCACGGAAGGGCCTGTGTGCCATCCAGGCACAGCTCCAGCCCCCTCTGTCTGGAGCTTAGCCACACTCCTGCTGAGGATCCTCCACAGGGATCTCAGGTCATCCCCAGTGGGTGGAGGCCACTTCCCAGACCACCCACCTGCACCCTACCCTGGGCTGGTGTCCCTGTTGCACTCAGAAGTCTCTCAGATAGCCCATTAGGTGGGAGCAGTGGTGGGTAGGGATCCTAGGGGTGCCTCTTTTGTGGGGGGAGCTCCTGGGCAGGAGAATCCAGCATTCATACCCAGGCCAGCCTTGTGAGCTTGTGGTGGGCAGCAGGAAGGCCTGGGCAGCTGAGCTGCTGCTCCTGGGAGGCTCAGAGGCTCCAGCTAGTGGCATCCAGCCCTGCGGAGATGAGCCCAGGCCACAGCCGACGGGAGGAGGGGCAAGCTGTCCTGTTAGTGTCTGAATGCTCCCAGCGTCCTCGGGCTGGTTTGGCGCAGGCCACCACCTCCTCCGCTAATAAAATGCCTGTCCAGCACCCTGCCTCCCCACCTCAGCCTCCCCCCACCTTGGCCTGACTGTGGAACGATTGAAGCAGGGATTAGTGCCCTGGCACCGGCGCCCGGAGCTGTTTGCTCAGCACCACTCCTGCTGCCAAGAGCTCATTCATTAACGAGCAAACAAATCTTTGTGCTGCACAAATCGCTTTCCTATGGACTTCTTCATTCACAGCACATCCCATGCTGCCCAGTACCCAGCGCGGCTCAGCCAGGAGGGGGCACCAGACAACCAACTACCCTGGCACGGCCTGGGCATGGGGCCCTGACCTCCTGACCTCTCCTCACCCTGCACACCAGACACCTGGGTTCTAGGCGCAGCTTTACTTCCACATCTCTGTGCCTCAGTTTCCTCCTGTTTGCTTAGCACATCTGGGCATTACAAGGCTGGAGGAGGTCAGGAGATAGACAGCATCTGGATTTTTGCCCTGGCAGGCAATGATGTGAGTTGGGCCTATAGGTGGTACTGAGCAGCCTGGTTAGCTATCTGGACCTCACTCACACCTCTTATCTATGAAGTGCCTCCCCCGCTGGGCATTATTGACTGATTTTGCTGTTGATCTATTTTACAGGCAGGATCTTCAGGGTGGAAGAGTGAGACACAGCTGTTTCCAACCCAGCCTCAGCATCTTCTGCCACCGTGAGTTACTCTCTCTAGACTTTCCAAAAAGCCTGTGTGCTGCTAGGGTGTCCCCACAGGGCAGCACTAGGGGGCATCAGGGTGGCTCAATGTCTCCCTCTAGTGGTTGATTCACAACCAGGGTTAAAAGCCTCCTGTTGTCACCAGCCCATTCAGCTGCTCCTTCAGCCCCAGTGCCAGAGAGGCCTGTTTCAGGAGTGAGAGGGGCTGGGATCCCATCCTTGCTGGCAGCCAATGTGTCCTTGAGCTCTTTACACAGGTGCCAGCACTGCTAGCAACTGCCATGGCACAGGCTGTCCAGTTGTTGGGTAGCTCATGGGAATAGGCCTTGGGGCCTTTTATTCCCTGGTCAATGGATGAGTAGTTTATTTCCAGTCCTTGCATGCAAGGTGAGTTTGGGCTTGGTCTCCACTCAGTTCCTGTTGTAAAGCCTGCCTCTGTGCTAACCTCCAAGCTTAGCACCTGGCTGGTGAATGCCCTGCACCATCCCTGCAGCCAGCCAGGGTGGCCATGTCAGCAAGGGAGCTTGCCCGGTCCTGCTAGGAGGACACGGACCCCCTCCTTCACTGAGGCAGTCAATCCAGTGCCAAGACCATCCCCCACTTCCAGGAGCCAGGCAGCTAGAGACCTGGTGGAGGAGGGGGCAGAGACTCCATGATGGCAGCAGGTGAGGGGCAAGGGGATGATGCCCCCAGGTGTGGGCAGTGTTGTTCTGACTGGAACCATCTGAGCCCATGAAAGATCAGGGCAACAGCTGTTGTGGGGGATGTGCCAGTGGGAAGGGTCTCACTGCTTAGGACTGACTCCCAATCCCTCCCATGAGAGAAAGGGGCACTGAGGCCCATGCTGGCAGGAGTGAAGCATGGAGCAGAAATGAACCCTTGGCCCTCAGAGCAGGGGCACTCTCCAAGTGTGCTTTTTTCAAGCCATCTGGGATCAGGTCCAGCAAGGGGTGTAGACAACAGTGTGAGGGGTTCCTCTCTAGTGTGTGGCCCTGGGATCCTGGTAAAGAGCTCTAGCCAGGCATGGGGTGCCTGGCTCCTTCAGCTCCCCTGCCCCCTTGCTCCCCACCCTCAGAAGCCTATAGGATGTGGCTGAGCCCATGGTGCATGGCAGGACAGACTGGGGGGGGCTTGGCGGAGGTTAGTGTGGGGTGCTGGATCAGACTGCCTGTGCCCAGAGTGGGCTGGCTGCAGCATGCACCCCTGGACCTGTGACCCCCTGCCCACCTCACAGTTTGACCCATGGAGGATCTCCAGCTGTGGGGCACCCTCTGCCTCAGCCTGCCCAGGGATCACCCCATAGGTCAGGGCCAGCCTGGACATAGTGCACCTGGCTGTGGCACCTCTTCCCCCTGCCACCCATCACACAGAGGCCCCTGCTGTCCAGGAGTTAACACAGCAGTCACACTAATGGAGGGGCTTTCACAACCTTCAGTGCTGGCTTGCGTAATCTCCTCATGGCAACTGCTTCGGCCTCCCAGCTCCCTTCACACCACAGCTAGGGCCCTCTTGTTCCCTTGGGGACCCAAGTCTCTTCACAACCAGCTCCTCAGGCACTTGTGAAGCCTGTCACAGAGGGCACTGCACCAGGCTGGCCTTGCACTGGCATGTTCCCTTGCCAGCATGGGGTGATGCAGGCCTGGGCAGGCCAATGGCAACGCCACTGGCCCCTGTGCATGGAGCAAAGCCTTAAGCACATAGCTGCGGCAGGGGTCCTTCTCTGCTTATATGCCAGATATCTGTCCCCACCTGCCTCTTGCCCTGCAGCAGGGATGCCCCAAGAGCATCTGAGCTGAGAACCTGCACCAAACACCAAACTTGTCTCGACCAGAGCCCCCAGGCTGGCCTTGAACCTGTGCCCCTGAGAGTGGAGGGTGGGGCGATGCTTTGAGCATGAGGTCACCAGCCTTCCCTAGCTGTGTTTCTCCCATGCTGCATGGAGTGACTCAGGTGCATGTGCCTGTGAGAGGAGGGGGGCAACAAGGACTCTCCCCCACTGTTAGCCAGGGGTGGGATTAGGGCCATTTTCCCCATAGGGGCTGTAGCTGGGCTTCCAGAAGAGGCAGGAGACTGGGCACAAAGAGGGTAAGAAGGGTCAGCTCTGGGACAGCAGGGACCTGTGGAGGGCTGTGGGGATGAAGGGTTCTCCAAGTTGGCTGGACCCATTGGTCCTGATGTGGGGACAGGCCTGGCTGATAGGTGTGATGGGGAAGCATCCCAATGTCTCTCTCTTTCCATACTCTCCTGCCCGCTTCTCTCTTCCCAGCTCCTCAGAAGGTTTCTCTCCCTTTTAGCTTCAATAGACAAATTCTGCCCTTCCCAGTATACATTTCCATCGGACTCAGTGTGGCACAAGGCCTGCCCTGCATAATGTCCCAGCCTCCCCCTGTCCCCTTTCTCTCCAGCCTTGGGGCCACTAGTGTCCCTAGAGCCAGCTCTGCCCCCTGGCCTCGTGGGGCAGGACGTGGGGCTGGAAAGCCACCCCATGGCCCATCACCAGAGGCCAGGATGCCCCTCAGGCCTGGCCACAGGTGCGGGGATTAATTGTCCTGGGAGATGCATCAACAAAGCAGAGCCCTGCTATTTCAGCTGCTCCACCAGCCACGCCTGGAAGGGGAGGAGGGAGCAGATAGGACCTTCTGTCCCCCAGACCCTCTTGTGACCCTAGCATTGGTCTAGGGTCTAGCCCCCATGTCCTCTCCTACACCATTCGGGGTTTCCTGCCCCGAGCTCTGGCTTTCAGGAGGGACATGGGCAGTGTAGGGCTGTGCGCCCCACCCCACCCCACCCCACCCTACTGGAGCAGACCAGGCTAATCCTGTGCAGAGCCCCTCAATTGAGTTAGGGCTTCTCCTGCCAGGTGTTTGGGGTGGGGGGCGGTGTTTGCAGCCACCACTCCCTCCCTGCAGAGCTGGCGGGAGCTGGTTTTGCAAGACTAGTGTGGGGTTCCATCCTCTCTCTCCCTACCATGCAGCTCCTAGCGCAGTAAATCATGCTGCGTCTCCAGGCCGGGGCCTGCATTCCTCATGCCCTGCCCCAGGCAGTCACCCTTCTGTGTTGCTGTGGGCTTGGGAGACGGATGCCGTGCCCCACCCCAGAAGTGGTTGCATTTGGGTCCCAGGTGAGCGAACCCTCTGCAGCGTTACTGTGTGGCTACCATGCCCCACCCCAGAGCTGGTCACATTTGGGTACTGGATGAGCAAACTCTGCCCATCGTGGCTGTGTGGCTGTTGTCCAGCTGCCATGTTCCACACCAGAGGTGGCTGTATGTCAATGCTGGGGTGAGTTCATCATGGTATATTTACAGAGCCAGCCCTGGTTTCCTCAGTTCCCCTACTCTGTCACCAGCGTTGCCCCCTTGCCTTTTGAGTTCACTAGTGCTTCCCCTCCTCTGACAGTCCCCCCCAGCCCCCTTGCTCTCTCTCTGTCTCTCTCTCCCTCTCGCAAGGAATGGTGGGGGGTGGGGGCAACTTCTGTTTCAGCCTGGCACCCAGCCAGCCTCCAGGGATGCCTCTGGGATCCATGCTGGCTCAGGGAGTGAGTCGGCTTTCCCCATCGACACTGGATAGCGCTGATCAAATAGCTTTTCTCCAGGGGCCCATGTGCCCAGTGCCCAGCCCAGGTCCCAGGCTGCAGTGGGAGATTTCTATTTATGGGAGGGCTGTGGAGCCTAACAGTTAGAGTGGGATTGGAGGAGGCGGGAGGGAGGGACAGGGAGTCAGGTCTCTCCGGGGTTTTGTTCCCAGCAATGCTGCCGACCTGTACACGACCTTGGTAAGCCCTGTCTGTCTCTGCCTCGCTTTTCCATCCCTGTCTTTAGTCTTGGGAGACCAGGGCTGCCTCTTCCTCAGTGTCTGTGCAGTGTCTGGTGCTATGGGTTCCCAGCCAACACCGCTACTGTAATACACCTAGTAGCAATCCAAGCTTTGTAGGCCCAAAGGGATGCAGCCAGGCATTCCCACCCACTTGCCCACTGCCTGCTCTGGGGCACAAAGGGTTACACGGCACATCGGGCTCCATCAAAGAAAGCATTCCTTGTCCAGGGGAGGTTGTTCTCCTCTTTGCCCAGTCCCGCAGCTTCTAAAATTAAACCCTCATTGGTCACTGTGGGGCCTGGCTCTACCCAGGTGCTTGGTGCCAGGGGGCCCTGCCAGCTCCTCCACCTGGCTCCCACACAGTAACTCAATACAAAGCAACCAGGGCCGCCCAGTCCCACTCGTCGGTGGGCCGGCTGCCCCTGCTGCCAGGCGGATCTGTGCCTTTGCAGCCAGCATCCAAGGCGGCAGGCCCTATCTGCTTAAACCCTGCCTGGCCCTGCTCAAGGCCTAGGCCCTGGCAGCGGGTGGCTGGACAGATTGGACTGGGTTATAGCTGCCTCAGTCAGAGATTGCTGTGTTAGGCAGAGGGAGCAGAGCTGCCAGCAGGGAGACCCATTGCTGGAAGGGGGCAGAGTTCAGAGAGGTGGTGGTGCCCAAGGTGATGGTAGCACCTAGCAAGGTCCACAGCCTCCTGGGTGTTGTACACAGCACACACACACGTGTGTGTGTATCCAGAGCCATGGACCATCCAAGCCCCTGTGAGCTTAGAATTACACGTGGGTCGTCAGACTTCTGGGTTCTGTCCTCCACTCTCCATGTTCAGTGCTGGATAGGCCGTAGTCTCTCTTGGTTTCCTGGCCTGCATGACCAGACTGGGCCTCCCCATCTCAATCAGGGAATAATTGTGCTGCACTGTGCTCAGTGGAGGGCACTAAGGACAGGCAGAGGGATCCAGACAGGACCTGCAGACTTACATGCTCCCTGGCCTGTGGCTGTGCCAACATGATAGGGAGGGGGTTGCCAGTGCATTATGAGTGGCCCCCAACAACTGGCTGTCATTAACTAGCCAGGGGATGCTCAAGTCCTGGCCTGCAGACCAGATCTAGCCCCCAGCACCGTGTCATCCAGCCCGAGGCTGTGGCTCTGCATGCTACTGAGTGCAGAGCTCAATCCCAGCACGCAGGGCTGGGCAGAGGCAATGCAGCATCCTATGGTCTCAATCCCCACCTGTGAGGCAGGACAGGTAGTGCAGGGCCCCACAGCCCCGATCATAGCACATGGGGCCAAGCAGAGGGTACATGGGGCTCCAAGGCCCTGATCCTGGCACACGGGGCCAGACAGAGGCTGCGTAGGGCCCCTATCCTGACACCCAAGGTCCAATCCAGCCTGCAGACTGGCCCCTCACCACTCATTTTGCCCATGTGGCCAAAAGTTTGAGCACCACCAAAGTATCCTTGCTGGCTGTGGAGTCTGGCTCCTCACCTTCCCGTCCCCCCCACCCCTCCACAAGCAGAGGGACCTTTGAAGTTTTTCTCCTCACTGCCTGCCCTATGCTGTTGCTGTGTGACTCCTGCCCAGCTGCTGTGCTCCCCCCTGCCCCATAGCAATGCTGCATGGCTGCTACCTAGCCACGCCACACTCCACCTCAGGTGGCTGCAGCAGTTCAGGGAGTGAAGCAATCCCTATGCTCAGGAACAATCCTTCAGGGTGAGGTCGCACTGGCATGACATGGAGGGATCTTCCCCACGTGGGTTCTGGGGGAGAGGGGAGGGGCTGTGCCCTGCAGCCCACCCACCCGCCACAGGGTGATGGTGATCAGGCAGGGGTCTGGCTTGTGCAAAGTCACTGCTCCAAAACCGGGGAGACCAGTAGCAAGACACGTCAGCATCCCAGTGAGAGTGAGTTTGCAGAGCACCCTCACCCTGCAGAGTTTGCAGGGCCTGTCTCAGAAGGCCTATTACTCACCAGGGCAGCGATGTCTGCCGGGTTCATTTGGAGTTCCTGGAGCTTCTCAATACCTGCCCCTCCTCCAAGGGGAACAAGGAATGGGGAAAAAGGAAGAGACAGGCTGCATTTCCCATCCCCTTGCATGATTTCCAGCCCTGGGGTTGGGGAAAGTGCAGGGGCTGTAAGTCTCACCTGAAGTCCATTAGGAAAAGCAGAGTCATCCTATGCTGCAGTCCCTGGCAGGGGTGCCAGCCCCCACCCTCTTGCTGGGCTCTTATGACAAGCAAGGAACACCACTGAGTTCAGCCAAGCTGCCAGTATTGCTCTGGATTTCCCTAAGGACCCCCGGGACAAAGGTGCGCCCATTGCAGGGGTGAAATTTGCAGGGGCTGCAGGAGGCTGTGGCAGTACTGGTTCGGGGGAGACCAGAGCAGATGCCCAGCTGATCCCAGGGCTTTGGGCAGCTCTTGGTCCAACATGTTTCAGGGAGAGGGGCTGAGAGTCAGAACTCCTGGGTTCTTTTCCCATCTCTGACACCATGTGACCACAAGCCAGTCACCACCACCCTACGCCTCTGGTTCCCCATCTGAATGATGGCTTGTGAGGTCCAGTGAACTCTTTCGAGCCAGCTGCTTTAAGATCCTTGGGCCACTTCACAGATTCCTGCCTACCCTCTGCCTGGACCTGTCAGCTTCCACAGGCCCCGTCCAGCCACTGGCTACTCCTATGCCACGTCCCCTCAGTGACACTGCCTCTGTAGCCTAGTTCCTAACACTGCCAGCTCCAGCTGTGGTGCCCCAGTCTGCTCCCTGCAGTTAACTGTGGTGCCCAGGCTGCTCCCTGGCTTAGCTGCTGCTCTGTGGGCATATGGGTTTAAATGTAGGAATTTGTGGGTTTCCCTGAAAAGCGTTAGAGGAGTCTCTTCAAGGGGGATTCAGGTCCCCATGCTGCATTTGCCCCCATGGGTAGCTGATGCCTGCCATTCCTGCATCATGTGTCATGTCCACACCTATTTGATCTCTCACCCCCTCTGCTCAGTCTGGAGCATGTGCAAGGGTTGTTGTGTAGATGGCCATGCTGTTACGTGTCTCCAGCACAGCAGGCCAGTCTCAGGAGTGCACCTCATGTTCAGGGTTAGGGAGGTCTCTGGAGGACCCAAGGGAATTGACTCCAGTGTCTGGGACCAGCCAGGCTCTACCTTCCATGGGAGCGAGCTTGGTCCTTGCTGTGGAGAAGCCTCCTGAGCCAATGGATTGAACAGAGTTAAGCCCAGACCATTGCTGCTCTCCTGGCCTCAGTGTTCACCTCAGCTGCATCCGAACATGGGTGTGGGGATGCCCTAGGTGCACACTCAGCCTGGGCTGCAAGGTGCCCCAGGGTGGGCAGAGCAAGGCTGTCTGAATACACTGACCCCCTCAGCACCTGCTGGGATTGGCAGGAAGGAAGAGAGGGGGTGGGCTGGCATTTGTGTTTGGCAAACAGACATGTGTCCACACCTGCTAACCTGCTTGTGTGCGTACAAATACACTTGCCTGCTGGAGTGGCACAGATGCACACCCATGCATGCTTTCTCTATGTCAAGGGTGCTCAACCCCCAGCCCATGGATCTCCCCACAAGTCAGGAAATTTGGTGGCAATTAACACTACCATCTCTCCCCCATTGCCAAACTTCCAAGCCCTGCACAGTAGGGCTGTGCAAGGCTTCGGACCGTCTTCAGATCCAGAGAGGCTTTGGACACTTCGGCGTCTGAAGCAGCATGTCCGGATCGAAGCACTGGCTTCGTTAGCCTTTCTGAAGCGGTCCGGAGCTTCTGA